GGACTCGGGGGTGGCAGCGGTGGTGAGGTTGGCCCAGGATCGAACATTGTTTCGTTCTGCTGTGCATGGAGTCGCTATGAGTCGGTTCCGACTCGATGGTACCTGACAACAACCTGACAATTTATTTTGCTCTGGAATTTTTGCCTCTGAGCTTGAAGGCACTTAGGAAGGAAGAAAACATCATCTTGTATGTGTTCTTCAGATCAGGAATAATGGCAGCTATGGATATTTGGGGCAGGACGAGGTGGATAGAAGCACATGTGGCACACAGATTAATAGCTCCATGCCTACTCCATGCACTTTGCTGAAGCAGCTGTTACCTGGAACTTTGTGCTACCAGCTAGCTGCCAGCTTAATGAAGCTAAGCTCTTAGAATTACAGCCCATCCATGAGACTAGAGCTCGTATAATAATAATTAGCTTGATGACTTATATTGACTGCTGAAATTGGCTGAACACTATTCGCTAGGTCCTTTGTTAACTATTTTATCTTAGTTGTATCATTTGTTCTTCTCATTGGTGTTATGGAATAGATCCTATTATCAGTTTTATTATATCATTGAAGAAGAAAGAAAGAGAGAGATTTAGAGGGATTAAATAAATTGATGAAAGTCCCATAACTTATAAATAATGGAACAGAGGTTCAAATCGAGGTCATTAACCACAGTAGAACCCTGGTAGCATAGTAGCTACAGGTTGGGCTGCTAAGGTCAAGGTCAGCAGTTTGAATCTGTCAGTCACTCCAACATGAGGCTTTCTGTTCCCATAAAGATTTACAGTCTCAGAAACCCTATACATGGTTACAGTGAGTTGGAATCGACTTGTCAGCACACCCAGCAACCACTCTTAGTGATCATTCTTTATTGCTTTGGGCTCCTGGTGAGTCAAATTTATCTATGCTAAAATATAGATGTTAGCAGGAGCTGTTAGGTACCATGCTTGACTTGGAAATGTTAAGACTGTGCTGGGTCAGATAAAAGGAACCTCAAGGATATTAATCAGTATGTCTCGTCCATACTGCTAAACTTATGGAGACCCATGAACACATTGTGAAACACTCAGCCCCAAAGAAATCAAAAGAACAAGGAGCTATTTCCAACCATATGCAGGCAGAGAAAAGG